TTAACCGCATTACCCACCGGGCGCGTCGCTGCTCCGCTGAGCTCACGGCGCCCGAGGTGCCTCTAGCGCTGCCAAAGTGCATCTCCTGCCCCTCTTCAATCATCTCCCCTCCAGCCGTTGACCAGAAGGCAAATGGAAAAGCTTTTGGTAACTTCCAGCTGATCTTGGCCGGGAATCAGTGACTCACAAAGGAAAAAATTCACTGCCGATTCCTTCGCAATCAAAGGTCAAGCAGAGCTCACGCTGGAACCTGCAGAGAGGCTTTCCACGGTCTCACCGGCAACGGCCCGGGCGCCAGGCTCCTTATTCCATCCTTGTTTTTGTTTAGGAAGGCAGATTTGAAGGCTATAAATATTGTTGCACATCTGGCGAGGCACGCCTCAGTGGAAAATCTGTTTCACTGAAGGTAAGCGCCTGCGCTGGAGACGAGCACTTGTCTATCTGCAGCCAGCCCGCAGCAGCCTCCGGTACACAACAGCCCCGGCTTCCTCTCGCGCTCTGCTTTCAGATGTCAAGTCTCAGCAATTTGCAAAGCTGTGCTGTAGTTGTGAAAGACAGTTTTCTGTATTTCCATATGGTGTGAAGTCTTCATAAGGCTCAGCTTATTTTCCCTAAACATGTCAGAGTTTTCGCGTTGCTCCCCGTGCGCGATGATCCCGCTCCCTCGGCGTGCCGAGCTCTTACCACGTCCAGTCGGCTTCCCTTCCACAAATACCACTTCGCTCCCAGCCTGCTTCTCCAGATTGCACCATCTTCCAGGATTTGCCACCTTCACATGGAGACCGTTTCTTCCAAAAATGCAATTTCTGCTCAGATGCAAGCAGCTGATGATTTTCTGTGAGAGCAAGGACCGACGGGGGGACGAGGGACGGGATGGCATGCGCAGCCAGAAGGATGGTGACCACCTGCCTGCTCCCCATGCACTGGATCAGACGATTAAAACTGGGCTGCTGGAATAAACCCAAGGGCTGGAAAATACCAAAACTTCAGATTTCAATAGGAAAAAGTTATCTACCGGAACAGAAAATCAGAAAGATATGCCAGCATTTTTTTTTTTCAAGCCAAATTTCATTTACTTAAAAAAAGAACCTAAAATGTTTCTTACAGCACTGCTTTGTTTGGGGAGGGGTGGGAGGGAGAGAGATTCCCCCACCCCCTCAGCCCCCATCTGAGTCAGAACAGTTTCTCTGTTCACACCAGCAGCATAGTAAAAATAGAAAGAAAAAACACAAAACGTGATTACTGTTGTACTAGCTAAGGGTTTAACACTTAAAACCAGAAAGTGCTTCAAGCATCTTCACAGCTGCTGTGTGCTGTAAGGTAGCCATGCCAGCTGTACTTCTCTCTGTCCCAAACCCAGAATCTTCCTCCTTTGGGTACAAGAGCTGCTTCAGAAATGCATCAAAACCCTTTTTACCTTCACCCATACCCCATATGCGTGTGCCCAGCCACTGTCAACCAAACTGTTCAACATCTGTAAGAACGAGAGTGCAAAGGTACTGAAACACAAACGCCTTGCCGAAACAGAGATCCAATGCAGTATTTCCTCTGGTGGCTCTCCTGCGATATCCAAAATATCCTTACTGTCTAGGGACCTAGCAAAAGGTTTGAGAAACAGGCATGAGACAGGGTAAAGTGCAGAAATTACTGCTCAAGGACAGAAACTGATGAACAAACAAATGCTTTGCGCTTCTTGATTAAAATGCTGGATGCTAGGCAGTAATGAGGAAAGCCAAATTAATTGATTCTAGATAGTGTTGCCTAGGTATGCAAAATAGGAAGATGCAGAAATTCTCCCCCCTTCGCAGAAATAGTTTACAAAGCAATTTTAGAATTTAATAATAGGAGTAACAAAGCTCCTGGTCATTTCCAAGGAGTCCTTGGAAATGCTAGGGAGAAAGTAAAAACCTGCCATTTTGTTTGATCAGTAAGTTTAGAACTTCATTGAAAATTTTTGGTTTGTTTCATTCGATTTTGAGGTTGTTCTGGCACGGAGAATTCTGACAGAGCTGCAGCAGTTTTTCATAAAGCATGCAAGTTTGCAAGATGCACAATCACACCTTGCAATAGCTGATGGTTTACTTTCTGAATCAAAAAAAAAAAACAACGTCAGGCAAGACGTTGAAAACGTTTGAGAATTAGAACTGCAGTGAAGCACACTGCAAGCTCACTCCAGCCAAACTTACTCTGGTCAACAGCTGCTATGTGTAATCTGAACAGAAATCTGGGCAAGTTTGGGTTCTCAGGCCTTTCCTCACCCAAAGTAAGACTTTGTAGCTACCTGAAGAGGAAACTTGGGAATATAATTTTGTACAAGGTGATGGACACCTTCATTACAATCATTACACATTCATTACCCCACATTACAACTCTCAGGCTATGAAACAACTTTTTCATTTGAAGAATCTCAGGACTGTAACGTTCAATAAACTATTCCTGTACCTTGAACAGTTTGCTTTGGGGACAAGAGACTAACAAAATTCTGCGCCTCCTCAGTGACACCGTAAGCAATCATCTACCTGATCCTGAGCATCACTGAATCTGCCGTTTCCCTCTCAGAGCTAACCCAAAAATTCAGTGTGAGTAACCAGGAAAGATCATAAGCTGCAGCCCTGTCTTGTGTCTCTGTTAAAAATACCGTGGTCCAGAACTGCTCTGCAACAATCCCTTAGACCCGCAGTCGTCATCTGTACTAGCATTTAGGTCTTATTGACATTTCCTGGGATTCGTTTGTAGTTTCCTTTGAAAACAAATGGAAAAGTAACTCCATTTATCAAACATTTTTTTTCAAAATGTTGCTCACCCACGGCAACTTGAACGTATCACACCAACTTTCTCCAGCACTATTCTGCCTGAGCAGGAACCCACCCATCTCCTGCAGCTCTCAGCAGCTGCCTGCCTACCCCTCAGCAGCCTTTCCTGCATGCTCCTGCTCCTCCGCACACCAGAGACCAGCCCGGCTGCAGTAGATCTGCTTGGGACACAGATTTGAGTGCTGTGCACTCCCAGCCTACAGCACTAAAAGAAAAGATGAGGACAGAAGCAGCAGGAAGGTCCTTCTTGACCCAGGGTGCAGGGACACGCACCACGCACCCCAGTGAGCTGATTTTTCAAAATTCATATGAATTCCCCCAAAAAGAGCTCTGCAGCTTCATTCAGGACCACTTCTATACTGAATTTCACATCTCAACCCCTAATGCTCCACTCACACGGGATCGGATTTTTATTTATTTGCTTTAATATTCGCTCCCCTTCTCCCCTCCCACCCCATTTTTCATGAGCCATAAAGCAGCCGAACAGCTCCGAGTTCAGAGTCCAAATATGAGGTTATAAATTTTAGCTCTCTGGACAAAGTAACAGCCTCACTGCACCTACAGTTGCTGCACTGAGTGCAGTTCCCCATTTATGAAAGTCAGTGGCCAAGGAGCTGGCAAATCCAGCAGACAGCCAAATGCAGGCTGACTTACGAACACAAACACAGGAAGTAAAGTTTTCACAAAAAATTACATCATAATTACACAGTGGCATGGTCTGGAGTTTATTTTATTTGTGATATATCATGGGATTGTTGAAATAACGGGCCATTTTTAAAGAAAATCTGGGTTAAAATGACACGCTCACTATTGCGGATCACCTTTCAGGTCATCATCCTTTTCTGTACAGGATTACTTCACTTCCTATTTTAAGTTTTTCATCCAGCCAGTCTTACACATCAGAGGAACAACTTCATTACCTAATGATCTAGATATACCATGCTATCTGGCTGCTCAAGACTCAGATCTTGCTTTGCTTCTAATGCAGACTTTACCAGAATCAGTCATAACTTCAATGTAAAAGAGAGCCACAAGTGTTCCTGTCATCAGTACTTTGAGGTTGTCTGTTAAATACAATGATCCTGTCTTATTTTCAAAGACAAGTATCTAAAGAAATGTGAAATTATAATTAAATAATAGAAATATCTGTCATAGAGACTTCATGTATTTACCTCCTAAATGCGCTGTGTGAACCACAAATGCAGTGAACTGACCTTGTGTTACTTGTGCACAAAAGCACGTGTGCAGGCACGTGTGAAGAGATACACATCTACAAATATATATGCATACACACACACACCTTCCCACCCCTCTGTCCTAAAGAGAGCAGGCTGGAGGACCCACACAGGCACAGACATTTGCTGTTAATCTGCCTTCAAACGGCATCTATTCTTGCACGCCCAGGCTAATAACTCTGTTTGAGAAGTCTGTAAATAATACAACATTAACTTTTAATCCTATCTTCCCTTCTCCAGCATATATTTTGTATTAAAAACGGAAGTTATATAAGGTTGAATTGAGGTTGCTTTTTAATATTACATTAACACTATTTACCATGTGCCGTGCTAATCCCCCTTTGAAAAGAGAGCATATTAGCAATTCCTGAAAGCTTATGTTACCATAGCAATAGTCTATCACTGTGAAATATTTATATAATGTCTAACATTTTCACTATGCAACAGCCATCTTCCGAACTGCACTTCCTACTTATCCTCCCGTGTGCTAGGTTTCCTCCTGGCCCCAGCCAGCAGCTAACCTACATGCAGGAGCTGGGGGCGCCTCGGGGCGTGCAGACCCTCCTGCGCCCTCCGCGTCTGGTTTTCCTGTTCCTGCAGAGACATCGAGCTCCCAACACCACCAGCATATATCCCCTGAGCAGCTTATATGTCATTCTAGTCCTAAATACGTGATATTAGCAACGGGTGGCCTGAAAGCCCTCCTGGGTGAGTTAAATGCTACTGTCATCAGGCTATATAAATGTCCCAAACCCAGATGAAGGTTCTGCAGACGGGTGGATATGGCTTAACGTGGCACTGGCTTACCTTGCTTCCTCTCCTCCACGTCATCCCCCTTTAAATCTTGGTGCTCCCGTCTCTTTAGTAAAGACCATTCGCTAACCAGGTTTCTGAGCCCCAAACCCAATCCACCTGTGCGTCCCCTCCCACAGCAGGGCTGCCCATCACTTACTTTGATGTGCTCGTGCAGCTGGGCCTCGTGCTGCCGGGAGAGCTGCTCGTGCTGCCGCTGGAATTCGGCAATGAGGATCTGCCGCTGGATCTGCTGCTTCTGCTTGAGCGCCAGGAGCTCCTGCTGGAGCTGCTGCTCTCGGAGGGTCGGCTCCGTCACGGGCATGGAGAACTGGTGGTCCAAGCGCAGGTCCATCGGGACTGAGGTCGGTGCAACTTGCAAGGGCAGTGCTGTGGTCACATCAACTGCAAAGGGAAAACACAACGGGGATTTACTTTTTATTCTGTTCCTGAAGGTCTTTGCTGGACGCGCTGGATTGAGCTAAGAATAGCACTTGTTAAACTCACACCCTGCTTTTTAAACAGCTAAAAGCACCAAGCAGTCAAAGTTCAAGCAGCTTTCCTCCAACCACCATCTCCTATAAATATGTGCATTGTTGAAAGGCAAAAGAACTTCAATGAATCGCACGTGACCCTTCTTGATGTCATTCCAAGCCTGTGTATTCAAAACACACATCTCCATTCCTCTCTTCTAGCATCACTTGAAACGAGAAGGATAAATATTAATCTGAGCCTTCACGGCGAAGATCAATCTTGTCTAACAACTGGTAGAATCCAAAGGTCAGGACTGTGATGGTTTTGTGCTTAAAAAAAGAAAAATTACACACAAAAAAACCACTACATGCTGTATTCTTTATTTATACTTCTATGACCAGGTTGGATGAGGCCCTGGGCAACTTGGTCTAGCGGGCAGCATCCCTGCCAACACCACGGGGTGGAACTGGGTGACCTGGAAGGTCCCTTCCAGCCCAAGCTGTTCTATGATTCTTTACAGGAATTTCAGGAAAAATTTGTTCCAGCCCCACCAGGAACATGAGACATCTGCTGAGGGAAGGAAAAAGGAAAACCACCACCTTGACTGTCTGCGCAGTGAAAATCAGTTCTTTGCTTACACAAACAGCATCTCCCTGAAGACAAGGAGCTTGTCATAACTTCATCAGGGACCGACATCTATGAAAAATAACTTTGCAATAAAACTCAGCTCAATCCTGCTAAAAAACATCACTGTCATCCCATGAATGACTGCACGTTTCTAACTCCACCAGAAGGACAGTTCTGGGTTTCATGTCAGCTCTGTACTTTTGCCATGTTTCACACCTTGCTTTGTAGGGCAATCACTTTAAAACCCTTCTGACACCTCTGAATGAGCATCACGTGTTAAAAAACAAAGATGCTGACTCTTCAAAAACATTAAGCTTCAAGAAAAATGGAAAATAAAGTGCATGTGTTTTGAGTTTTTTTGGTTGGTTTGCATTATTTTGGTTGGGGCTCAGTTCTTTGGGGTCACCTGGAGCGACCTGAAAATGGTCCAAAGTAAAGGAGGACGCGGTGCTGCAGGTGGCACGGGGCAGCGGGCACAGCAGCCACCACGTTACCGTCACCCCGCCGCACTGGTGGCATGCCACAAACGCCCACAGCGCAGCCTTACCAGCTCAGCCCATTAGTGTGCTAAACCCTACTCCGACTCTAAAAGAAAGGGTTTTAATCGGGTTTTCCCCCCGGTGCTATCAATATGTTTACTTTTGCCAGTAATTGAGCAAGGCGTAAAAAGCTGATGCTGGGAAAAGCTGCTGGCTAAACTGAGAGGCAGGCAGCAAAAATAAAAGCGGAGTAATTCTGAGCGATCTGGGGTGCCTGGGAAGGTGGCAAAACCCATCGCCCCAAAGCCAAGGGCATGGCCACAACGTAGGGATGGGGACCTCGGCCATGCCCACCGGGAAGGAACTGTCGTGTCCTGCTCACCTCCTGCCTTTTTACCGAAGACAAGTGGGTATTTAAGAAGTGCAGCACTGCTGAAGCTGAAGGGGTGGAAATTCACGTACCAAGGGATGAATGTAGAAATTCTGCTCAGTCTACACAAAATGGGTTTCATGGAGAACACTGCTTCTTCTACAGCAGAATAATATAGTTTGGAAGAGGAAACAGAAAGCACAGCAAAAAAATAATCATTGCTTTTATTAGAGAATACAGCTGGGGGGGTCTTAGGGACACAAAATGATCTGAACCAAACTCCTAACACTTGTAGCCACACGTACTGTGTCCTCCTGCCCGGCCCAGTGCCCTGCCAGCTCCCAGCCCACTGCATCGGCTGCTTCCCAGCACCTTTCACCACCCAACGCCGAACCAAATAGCCAAATTCGAGCAGCCAAGTTCAGCTTCACAGGCCAAATTCAGCTCCAGAGGCCGGGTCACGGGCATGTGGGGTGTGTGCAGAAAGCTCCACAGGCTCCCGCACCGTGCCTTGGGAACGGAGCTGGGCTCGTGCAGAGGAGGAGGAGGAGGAGACTTTTCTCAGATGGAAGTATTTGCTGCAAAAGGTCAGATTGCTGGAAGTGTTGCTATTATGCAACCCACGGGTTCTCCCCTCCGCTTCCCCATTGTTTTCCTTCCTGTGTCCTTGTCCCCGGGGGCTCTCCCCCGCACTGCAGCCTGGTGCACCAAACACCTCCGCCTGCAGAAACCCCCCAAATGGGGAGATCCCAACTCCTCCTTGGAAACCGGGATCAGATTTGGTTTGTGAAGTCATCCAGAGTAATGGAGGAGTGTTTGGGGTTTGGAATGTTTGGGCACGAGCTGTGACCTGAGAAAACACCTGGCTGTCCCCCGCACCGTGTGAAATGGGCTGTGGCCTGGGAAAGTACCAGAGGAAAGTTCCCATGCTACCCAAAGTCCCGTCCCCACGCTGGATCTAGGTGGAAAAATGCACGAAATAACAGGTTTTTGCAAGTATTTGCACAGAACCAAATAAAATAAAAAGCCAAACAAGCCATTTAGCCTTCAAAAATGTGATGCGCTGTGGCTATCCAAAATCCAGTTTAACCACCTGCATCTAAACATTACAGAGATCACACCCCGAGTCTTACAGCGTGAACACGGTCCTGAGCCACCTCGCCAGCCGGGAGCAGGGACACCCCAAAAGTCCCCTAATAATTTAATGCAACTTCACAGTCCCCAAAGCCGGAGAGCTCGAAACAGTTAACCCGGGAGGATCGTAAGCCATGAGTCAGTACAGCAAACAACGCGGTGGTCTTTGTGAATCACCAGCTTTTGACACGCCTGGGCTGCTGCAGGAAGATTGCTGAGCACCTGGCACTGACGTCTCCCCTCTTTACAACCACGGACTAAAGAGCTACCAGCACAAAGGTGGCAGCCGCTCGCTCGGGCTTCCCAGTTTGCCGGGTAAATGTGGTTATCTTCGCTGCACAAGGCTGAACCTGTCAGCCTTACTTAGCCTGAACGCAGTTTTCCTTGAAATGTGCACGCGTTTTCCTACAGACACCTTTGAGCCAAGTACCGTGTTTCCTAAAGCAGAAAATAAAAGCTTTTACCATGTTGGAATAAAACCGAATTTTGGCCAGAAGGAACACGTTACTGCAGCCCTGCAGGAGCGGTATGGGAACCGGGAGCTCGAGTTGTGCCCTGTGATAAATTTACTCCCCTTTTACCCTGTAACAAGAGCCGTGACTTTCGCAGCGCTGGAGAAGAAAGCCAGCTAATATTCCTGAGAAAACTCGACGAACCTCACGTTTCCTGTGCCGGGTTACGGGCAGCAGAGCGACTAATCCCCCCGAAAAGCCCGGCGCTGCGGCACAGCGCGCCAGCTGCGGGGACCGAGCCACAATTCCCATTCATTGTCTGCGCGCGGGGTGCGTCATCCCTGACTCGTACTATTTCGGTCTCAAAAAACTCTTCGAAATGCCATGAGTTCCCAACAGAAGCAGCGAGTGCTGCTGACCTACAGGGCCCTCCCGAAAACAATAAAACCTTCTCTACTTAATGAACACATCATCAAAACAAAAAAGCCTGTATTCTTATGAATATTTTATGGTAGACTAGAAAATTGCTTTTATAGGTTCTGCCTTGAGAACATATTAATACAATCAGATTCATGACGTTAGCAAAAGCACAAAGACTATATTCAGAGTTTTAATGAGAAATGCCAAACCCATGAATTAGAAGACAAGATCTCAATTATGAATAATAAACTATCGCATGCTCACCCGGCCCCTTCCATCACTGCAGGAACATAAGGAAAAAAAACAGGAGGAATTATTACTATTTCTTTTAACCTAGGCACGTAGGAATTTTTTTCACGGTTCAGTTCCCATTATTTTTACACTAAGTTGGAAACAGTCTGATGGTTTTCCCTCCCCAGATAAATAAAACATGGCCATGCATCAAAGACTGCCTGCTTGCTGTACGTTAATTAAGACCTCAAGCATTCTGGCCCTCATTGATTGTAGGCACGTAGTGGCCTCATGGCTGAGATTGTAAATTTGACATCTCGCAGCTTGTCCATAACATCACCCAGTGGAAGTCATCTATCGGCTAAATACACTTGCTGTAATGAACTGATGATCTCCAACATCACATAATGCAAGGGCGCGTTCCCTACGAAAAATGTTTGGCATTAAAATCATCTCACATCAAGGCTGCAGATAAATACGTTACCGGAGAGCCATACGTGGTACTGCCCTGTAACAAAACAAAACAAAACAAAAACTTCTCTGCAAGTACTGAGAATTTTGGAAGGGATTAGAAGAAGGTGACGCTACTTAAATATGCACTTGTGTTATTTAAATAAGGCTAACAGCAATAGCTGTATTTTCTCCCCCTTCTCCGACACAGCATTTTCATGAAAGTCCTTAAAAGACCGAAAAATAGAAGGATTCAGTCCTGAAAGTACACTGAAACGTACAAGATTTCAGTATGTTGGGGACACGGGACTTTTGAAAACAGATTTCAATTCAAGTCTCCTGTCGGCAGAACCTCTACTTCAGCTGAACTTGAAAACCGTTTCCCAAACAAGTTCTTTAAAAACCCAACAGGGGAGGCTTTCCTCGTTCAAGTCCAACAGCGCAGCGCCCTGCACACACCACCTCCTGCTGGGGGGCCGAGCTGGCACCCCAACCCCAGCCCCCAGGAGGAAGGCAGGCAGCACCCCCATCCCATCCCAGCAGCAGACAAACTTTGGACCTACCACCACGTGCCCCAAAACGCCAGCGTTTCAGCTCCAACAGCCACGGGGGTGCCTGTGCCTGAGCGTCCCCGGGCAGCGCTGTCCAGAAAGCATCGACTCAGCTTCTCCCCCCGTCTCCCATCCTCCCCGCACTTGGGCTTTATTTCCAACTAATGAGTTTGCTTTCTAATTACTGCCGTGCCGGCGCTGCCCTCCAGCCAGATTC